CCAAGAAGCTTTTTTGCCTTCCCAATCGATACTGTTTTGGTTTCATTTCAAAACTGCTGCAATTGCTATGCTAGGATTCTTTCTTTTTGGAAAGATTCGTTGGAAGCAGTGAATAAGATTTGGCAGGTGAGACAGCAAGGGCATTAGGAATTATTAAAATGTGGTGGTTTATTGCAAATGGCTATTCCTATATTCGAAAAAGCAGGTTGTGTATGATGCCATGAAAATCCTCCATATGCCAAAGTAGGATTTAAGTTGGTTTTTAAGCCCCTGCTAGAAAGGAATATTCCTCTCGTTTTCTGAAGAGGTGTGCACGCTCTGCTCTGTTTGCTCCGAGTTATTAACCAAGTGACTAATCTGCACTTGTTTAAAGTGAAGGACAGGAGCTTAGGCCTAGTAATTACACATTTATTTTCAGTGTGACCATTTAGTTTGAACAGTTCACTGGCTATTGAAGTACAACAAAGCATGTTGCAGTGGCTTGTTTCTCTTTCTTTCCTGGAGTGACTTTCTCCACTCTGTTGCTGACAATGCTTTTTCCTCAACCATATGAGATGCTCTGGTCCCACATCAGTCTGATGTCTTGCACTCCTTGATGTCTGTTCAGCCAAAATTTTGTCCTTGGTTTTTTATCCAGGTAATTTTCCAGGTGGAGAGTTGTCATTTCTGTAGAAGAAGAAAAGGCTCAGATAAATCTTTTCATTCCTTTGTATCATGTATGCTGAGTAAGAGCTGAAGCAGGGTCATGTTAAACTCTTGATCTAGTTTCAATATTAATGCCTCACTTGTGAAATTTGCATGTGGGTTGTTTTATATAATTCATCCTCTTGGAATTTTTTTTCGACTGGAGAGATTACAGCACTGGCACTCACAGCTCCTGAGATATAAACCAAATATATCCCCCAGGACTGGATGGCCAGCATTGTCTAAGCTTTATCTGCCACAGGTGTCTTCTCTTGGAAAGAGTGCTTAACCAAGAGAAGAATAAAATAAATACTTGGTTCTGCTTTATCGGATTATTCCTGCCATACAACTAAGTTGACTTGTCAGACATTTGCACATAGATGTTGCTATTCTTGTGATTATATTTTTGAATATAAGTTATATTTTGATTTTCCCTTAGTAAGCAGATAGTAATAAAAGCCTCCCTGTTGTTGGTTTTTTTTTTTTTTGGGAGGGGGTTTGTTGTAGTTGTTATTGAATCCAAGAGTGACTAAGCAAAAACGGTGTCTTATACCAATAAACAAGTTTAAGTCAGGTTTTTCTGAACTGGTTCTGTAGCCTTTCAGCTCTCTTCTGTATCTGAAAATGTTTCTTTCACACTGTGACAGTCACAGTTTTAAATAAAGTTGGGTGGATCGCAAACTCCAAGTGCTTAGAAGATGCCCCAGTGCTGCAGGCCTTTCTGGAAATGCTGATTGTCTGCTTTCCTGGGAAAGGAGGCACCCAATGAGAATCCTTGCAGCAGGCCTTTTTAAAATTTCATTTTCAGTGTTTTGACTCCTCCCTGTTTGAGGGTTCCCTGTGATTACTGGCTCAGGAGCTATGTCTGATTTCTGAGACTGCTAATGGGCAGCTAATGGGCTTTCCTCTCACCGGGAGCCTCAGCCCTTCTCACCTTGCATGAACTGGCTTTACTGGACTTGCAAGGCTTGGGGTGCTCAAGGCTTTAAAGAGATTTAAGATTTTTTAATATTTAATACTGTAAATTCTTTTCAGTAATATGAATGTTGTAAGCTCTTAAACATAATATAATAAATATAACATAATATAATAGTCATTAATAAATGGAGAATAAAAAACAGACTGACCAGTTGAAAAAGATGGTGGAATAGAGATTATTCTTTGCTGCCCAGCCAATAATTCAAGGTCAAGGCTGCAACTGAGCTTTTTTCCCCAACAAAATGCCCTGAATGGTCCTTATTTCAATGATAGCATTGAAAGGAAAAAATTAGAATAGAGAGCTTTGCCACTACCAGAAACAATTTCAGTCTCCTCCAAAGAAGCCTTGAGAGAATCAACAGTTACTGGATGAACAAAGGTACATAAAAGGTTCACCATGAAATACCTCCTGTTTTTCTCACTGAAAAGAAACATCGAAACTTTATAAAAAATCATCCAATGAATAGTATGAGAGTTACTCATGAGGCCAGAGGAGTTTTTAAGCCATGGTGCAGCTTTTAACTGGCATAAGGAAGAAGAATTTAATTCAATTATGTAAAATTTCCTATTTTATTTTCTTACTCTGGATGTCTTGCAACCCAAGGAAGTGAAACACAGGTAGTGCATCTACATCTCAAAGTCAACATTAAGCCAGAAAGGAACAAGGAATACCTTTAATTAGGTATGATTTCATACTGATTTTTACCCTGTAAGGAATGTCCAGAGGCCTGAATAGAATAATATCATGCCAGCTAATACTAAATAATATAATCCATTAAAATTAAATTAAACTCCAAATTAAATGTTTTTTGGGTGTACTGCATGACTCATGAGATTTTTTATATTATTTGTCTTTTTGAGGGTGGTTGATATTTACTGAATGACGCATTCTTGGTTCCCTGGGTAATTTTCCAGTTAGAAATACCTGTGAAGTTAGTACTTGCCCCAAATCTTCAATTTTGGGGGGTGGAGTGGGGTGGGGCAGAGAGAGAGAGAGAGATTGAGAATCAGACACAGTATAGGAGTGTATTGTCTGTTCCTGTGAGAATGGCTGAGCTAATGGCAAAGATAAGGTAGGTAGCCTATGCAGGGGAATTTATTTAAGACATGCATGGGCACAAAAGAGCACATTTGTGATGAGCAATTGCAAGGAGGCATTTAAAGGAATGATTTTATGTTTGCTTCTTTGCCCCGTTGTTCCAAGTTACTGCCTCATCAGCATTCTCAGTCCTTCAGACTTGTTCTGTCTTTTGCCACTGTCCTGCCTAAAGCTCTCCTCCCTTAAGGTGTGTGCTGAGCCCATGGTTGCTGGCAAGCTCGACTTTTCTGCTAATTAGTTGCTCTCCTGGCTGAGAAATGGTGTCTGCGTAAGCGAGGCGGGTGGTTGTGGTGCTGGGCTGGCACTTGGTCCTTTCTTACACCCGTAAGATCTCTGAGATGTTTCCTGAACCTCATTGTGACATCAGCTCGGTGCCTGCTGATGCTGTGAAATGGAAACTCCCATGGAAAATTCCTCTTTACCAAGCAGCTGCCAGGGACTGCCAGAGCACTGGAAGGGAGACAAGTCCAGCCAGACCCATTCTGAATTCCGAGTCTGACAAAACCTCAGGATTTTGCAAAGCACACTCCTCTGGATTTTCATGTGGGGATAAGTTTCTCCAGTGAAATACGGTCAATGTTTGCCATCTTCAAGACAGATTCTTTTTCTTGTTTGATTTTTTTTCTTCCCCCCAGTGGGAGTGGATTTGTTAGCAAACAGTTTGTTGCTAATACCAACAGTCAGAACATTTTGCAGGAGTGCAGGGCTGGTTAGGTGTGCTTTTCAAACTCTGACTTAAAAAGCCTTGGTTTAATGACACTGTATCTTTTATTAAACTTGATTAAATGCAGAGCATTTCACTAACCTTTTATGCTGCATGTTTTAGCCCAAAACAAACTAGTTGTCAAGTAAAACAATTGCCCTACCTAACAGATCCAAGAACATGTATAAGTTAATTAAAATAAAAATAAAGACATTTATTTTGTAAAAGGTCTTCTGTAGTCAAACAGGTCTTACGAGTAAATCAAAGTTCTTTCTCTGCTGTGTTGCAGGCAAATTACGTGCCCATTCTGTTACTCCCACAAAAAAATAGTTATAAAAATTTATAACTACCACAATTTATTTGGAAGTCATTACTACTGTCAAGTACCACAGCTGCTCTGAAGTGTCTCTATACAATGGTGTCAGATGTTCAGCTACATTTGGGCAGCATAACGCATGCAAAAATTTCCATTTCCTTTCTGTCTCTGTCAATAGCTTTGATGGAGCCATTTAGCACCAGTTTTAACAGTCTCCTTTTTTTTTAGGGATACATGGTATTGGGAGCATGGTACTGCCAAATTCACTATACTAAAGGGGTCATCTATGTGATTGCTGGTCTAAAGCCAGACTTGTGCTATTGACTGAAATTCTGGGGTTCACCCTTCTTGGCTTGAATCTACACAAATGTGCTCATACAAAAGTACAACTTTGGGTATGTGAAAGCAGCCTGGAAGATGGGAATAGTCTCTGGCTTTCCCAGAGCATGGGCAGCAGCAACTCTGCCTTGCCTTTCCTGACTGCACAGGTCATGTAACACCCCTGTGGCAACTGCAGTTACTGAGAGTGGTTAGGAAAATCTTTGAGTTAAAACAGTGCCAGTGATGGGTGGGCACACAGCAGTACTTTTTAAAAGGCCTCCTTTAAGTTTCTAAAATAATCTCAACGTACATGACCAGACAGCTTTCTGGAGACTTCTGGCAAGGCCAGGGATAATCAACCCCGAGAGGAGGGACGTGTACCAAAGCTAAAGGTTTAATGGACAATTAGCCATGAAGCAAGATGGAGAAGTTATGAGACCATTAAAGACCTGTCTGAGAGCCAGGAGATCGCAGAGCATAGGTGAATTACCTTCTGAGTCGGCACATTTTAAGAGTATCAATTAAAAACAAATTAAATTCATATATGATCCAGTTTGACTCAGTGTGTGTGGGTCACCCTGACCCACACAGATTTTCTCAAGTGCTTCTGATAATACTTGCTCTAGATAACTTGTGGTATTGCCTGCTGTCACTTGAAGATGATAGCTATTACTGAACCTCTCCTCTCCTCTCCTCTCCTCTCCTCTCCTCTCCTCTCCTCTCCTCTCCTCTCCTCTCCTCTCCTCTCCTCTCCTCTCCTCTCCCATCCTGAAAGTCCAAGATACCCAGTCCAGATCCTGGTGCCAGCCTCTTTCAATGCTCTGACCCAGCCCCACCACAGCAGGAACTAGAATTACAGACTAAGTGAGTCATCTCTCTTTTCTCTTTTCCATTTCAGGATGACAATGGATGCTCTGCAGCTAGCAAACACTGCCTTTGCAGTTGATATGTTCAAAAAGCTATGTGAGAAGGACAAAACAGCCAACATTATTTTTTCCCCATTGTGCACCTCAACGTCTCTGGCTCTGGCATACAAAGCTACAAAAGGTGATACTGCAGAGCAGATGAAACAGGTAAGCTGTCAGCAACCTGTTCTGTGGCTGCAAAGTTATATGGCTGTTGTAGGGGTCTTATTAGCTCTCATTAACTTTCTCCTGGATGTCTGGTTGCCTTGTAAGACAGACGTCAAATCATCCATCCAAACTTCTTGAATAGTTCCACACTCCATGGCCCTGCACAACAAAAGGGTGAAACTCTGTCTTAGATCTCTGCATTTTCTAGATAGCTGTTTTTTCATTATTCAAAAACGCTTAAGCTTTATAGAATTGAAAATGATTTTGCCACTGCTGTCAGCAGCAAGTGTGCGTAGCAGCCCTGTCACTGACTTTTCCCCTTTCTCCCACAATACTGTAAAGAGGAGATGGATAAAGTAGAAGGGGCACAATTTAGTCCATGTTTCTCCTTTCAAGCAGCTCATGATATTCAAGGCGTTTCCAGCATCATGATCCAGCATGGCAGTCATGATTCAATCAGTTTATGTGGTGCAGGGATTCAGCCCTCCAGCCTTGTCTGCTGCCTCTGTGTAAGCAGAGATTGAGCTGGATCCTTTTAATCCCAGTGAGGGTCCCCACAGTTTCTGCAGTTACCTAAAGGTGCATGAAATGCAATTTAAATATACATTTATATGCTGATTATCACCTGGCTCTGAAAGACTCTCTATATATTTGAATGTATTTTCCCTCCTTTGGAAATTCCTCCATGTAGTTTCTCATTCACTGAAAGTACCCCTCAGCACAGCCTTCTGTGCTCCTACTTATGCCACAGATTACAGGAGTCTTGTGCTGTTCACAGAGCTGCACAGCAATATGTCCATGAAAGTCATAGAATCATGGAATGATTTCTGTGGGAAGGGATCTTAAATGGCCATGCCACAGGCAGGAACATCTTCCACTAGACCAGGTTGCTCCAGACCCTACCCAACCTGGCATTGAAGACTTTCGGGGATGGATCCTGTAAGCTCTGCACATTTTTCCAAACAGTATTTAAAAAAAAAAGAATTTAAATTTAAATTTAAATGGTACCCTGAAGCTCCCTTACCATTTCAAAATTCAAGTGTTGTCTTTCTGGTGGGAAAGTTAAAAATATTACCCTGCCCTTATTTTGCTTTCACTTGTGTCTGCAATTTGCTTTGAACCATTCCATAATAACAAGTTAACCTGCACCTCCTCAAGTGGAGCTCTGTTACACAAGTGCACTTGTGTTTCATATTTCTCTAGTGGTATTTAAAAAGTGCTGACTACAGATGCTAAGGAGAGCTTGGTATGCTTTTAAGTGTAATATCTCCTATTTTCCATGTCTATTCTAGCTTCTGCTTTCCCCTGAGTTTGTGCTTGGGTTTTAAATACTAGATACAAAAGGAGCCAGATTGGCAGCTGTACTCTGGAACATCGGTCAACAATCTTGTGCCAAAAATTCTTTCAGGTAGAGAAGCTGCAGTAGCTTTTTCCCCCAACCTAGTTCCCAGGCACAGAAGCTTCCTGCACTTAACATGCAAAGAAATAAAACTGTTGGAGGAAAAGGAAATAAGTTGAGAAAGTTGTTTCTAAGGAGATGGAGTTGGCTACGACAGCTGTGCTGCTGCTGTAATGGGAGTTTATTTCCTTCTACTCCCACTGAGCAAGGAGAGGGGAGGTTATGGAAGGGTGACTATGGCAGAGCAGCAATTTTGTCTGTGAAGATGTGATGTGTTCTGGGAGAAAGAGCAGTAGTGATGTACAAAAGGAAAAGAAGGTCACAAGTGCCTGCTGTGCTTCATAAGGCAATTTGAGGCAGTGAGGAGGGTGGACAGGCTTCCTTTAATGAAACAGCCACCATCAAAGAGCCTGTAATAAGTGGGCATTAAAAGTTGAATTCATATTTATAGGGTTATTTTCAAACAAAGGCATCATTATCCCAGCATTTCGTAGAACTGGACTTGTCGTTCCCAGGAGTTGGGAGGTAGCCATGTGTGGGTCAGCAGCCCTGCCCATGCTTATACCCTCTCTACAAAACCAAACACAGTTATCTTTATCTGATCAGTTCTTGCTGAAATGTCATGTGATGTCATGTATTAGTCACAGCAGTCAGAAAACTTGATGATCTGTCAAGCATTTTTAAGGGTATAGCCCAGTTCTGGAAAGGAGATTATCTGGGACCCTCACACATCTGTCTTAAAAGCTTCAGGATTTTGGGTGGGAATGTAAGTTTGACAAAAGCATTATGACTCCATACTATGGAGTTTTAGTTGACTAAGTCACATCAGCAGCATGAACAGCTCTATTGGTTTCTTTGGATTGCTCATAGGAAAGAAATGCATTTGGTGAAAGTTCTGGTAGGATCAGGTTTTTAGATTTGTGTGAGCATGCCAAATACATAAATGATCTTTGAGTAACAACAGTGAGAGGCCCTGTCATTAGCTTAAAAACAAAAAGCAACAGCTCTGGTCACAAACTAACAATTTTTGCTTAGCTGTTAGGAATGTTTAGACAATAATAATAATAAAAAAATGCTGAATGTTTTATAATTTTCATTTAACAGGTGCTCCATTTACAAGATGTCAAAGATGTTTCTTTTGGGTTTCAAACAATAACTTCAGATGTTTCCAAACTCAGCTCCTTCTTTGCACTGAAAATGGTTAAACGGCTTTTTGTAGACAAGTCTCTCAATCCTACCACAGTAAGTACTGCAGGAAAACCCTGGTGTTATGAATTACTTGGCCATCACATGGATGGATTATGGTGTCAGATTGCAATGTTATTTAAAATTAATTCTTGTACTTTTGGTTGTTGGTTGACTGGACTCAAATGATGAACAGCATAATGTTGCCTGCTGCCATAAAAGTTTGTAGGAGGATAGATGAGTCTGCTGCTTGACCCCAAGCTGTGCAACTCTTACAACACTTTTAATTCTTTCATTAATATGCTTTAGGTCAGTAGCAAGTTTGGTTTTGAATGCAACATAACTTCTATGCCACATCAAAGTCTTTGTATTGCAAGTATGAGTGAAAATGAGTATAAAAAAAAATTGGTGGTGCAAGTGTATGTCCAGTGCACACACCCAAGTAATTATTGCAAAAGCTTCAGTGAAGCTTTGAGAAGGCAGAAGCCTGACTATTGAAGCAGCACAAGTGAAGAAGGTGGTGTTTGGCCTTTTAACTTATGAACTTTGCAAAAAACTGACAAGAACGCTCTGTGTTGGGTTTTTTCCCCCCCAAAATTGTTTCTGAGTAGAGTCCCAAGCAAGGACAACATCAGCCTAAGAGAGGTGTTTCAGAAAACTCAACATGCTGCAGTGATGCTGTGGTCAGATCACCTGCTGTTCAGCCTGTGTTACAGCAAGCAGGACCCAGAGCAATGAGTGTCTTCCCTGGTGAGGACAGACGTGATGGGAGCAGACTGTGGCCTCTATCTCAGTCTTGCTTAGGCCTGGACTGAGGGCTGTTCTATCCTGTAAACTCTGGCAACATGGTCCCTCCTGCAATATCAGTAACTTTACTGCTGATGTAGCACCACTGGTCTGAAAAACCTTGGGAGGGATGCACTGGATGCAACACTGTCTGTCCTTGATGTCTCCTGCAGTTATTTAATACCGTTTCTCAAACAAAAATGAACTCCTCAACTACCCAATGGCACTTAACTAAGGTAACTGGTTACTTGTGTCTTTCAGGACTTTGTCAACTCTACAAAGAGACCTTTTCCTTCTGAACTGGAATTAGTGGAGTTCAAAGAAAAAACTGAGGAAACCCGAGAAAAGATCAACAAATCCCTTTCAGAGCTGACTGATGGTGGGTACAGCTTAACCTTGGGAACATTGTTTGCCTCTTTGGAGAAAGATCTTTATCCTTATGATACCTCTTTAGGAGTAAATACATAGTGAAAGAAGACTAGGCCTACTATTTGGATGCATGAGGATTAGCAGCACTGACTTCAATGCTGCAGCACTTCTGAAGGTGGAAATGTGAGATTGACCTTGAATTAGCCTTGGGGAAAGCTGCTCACATTTGACTGCAGCAGGATAGGCTGGGAGAATGACAGGTCCTGGCTGTGTAGCATCACAACATGTAAAACCAAAACATCCAAATCTCTAATTCCTTTAAAAGCTTCATTGTAATGGGAAGTACTCATTGGACTCTGAGTTTCAGGCTGTTAATTTATATCTCAGCTGCTTTTGCCAGCAAGGGTGCCACAAGCAGGTGTGGGTCTCTCATTTGCCACCCTGTGAAAGCCCTGGCAGAGGTGGCCCTAGGGTTGGTTGCCACCTGTTGCCCTCATGTGGTGCAAATTTGGAAACACCACGCATGAGTCTGGTCCTTCCCAGGCTGGCACAGGTGCCCACGGGGAAGCACCTGGCCCTGTCTGGGCACCTCCAAGACAGGATTTGTCTTCCCAGTACTCTGAATTCAGGGTCATTTATGGCAGTGCTTGAACCAGTCTAAAACAGAGAGTGGGTCATGACATTTACATCCTATTTTGAAGTCTGTAGCAGTACTTTGGACATTAACTGTAATCAAAGCAGCATTTTTGTTTTATCCTGGTTATCTTATTCTTGTGTATCAGTCTAGAAATGAGTGGCTGCTAATTTGAAGCTTCCCTTCAAGTCTTGCTCTCCAAATGACAAAGTGTTTTTTCACTTAAACCTGTTGAATTTCACTGAAAACTCAGCACCTTCTTTAGGGTACTGAACAAAAGCAGGAGATGTGGTTTTGATTACATGCAATATATACCAACAAAACGTCATTTAGAAGATCTGCCTTGATCTCAAACCCCACATCAAAAATTAGGCTGCAATTTTAAGTAAGTGATCCTTTTTGTAATTTTCCATTAGAAAGAAAATCTTTTATCTGTGAGATGCAGGACACAAATGTGTTTAGTTCAGTGAAATGTTACCATATTCACTTAAAGCAATTAATATATTGCTAATGTATTGTATTAACAACCATCTTAAATCTGTTCACAGGAAAAATGGAGAATGTTTTGAATGAGGATAGTGTAAGTGACCAGACTCAGATTCTTCTAGTTAATGCAGCTTATTTTGTTACAAACTGGATGAAGAAGTTCCCAGAGACAGAGATCAAAGAATGTCCTTTTAAAGTCAACAAGGTATGTTCTGGGGAAAAAAAAAAGTACTTTTTCTCTCATGAAAATGCAAACTTTGAGCTAAGGAAATCACAATAAGAGGAAATGAAAAATATGTATTACTGTGACATTCTTAGACTCTACCTAATCTTACCCAGTGTTTCAAGGGTCCCAGACTGTCCTGGGAGTATGTTAAGACAACATCAGCTGAGTACAAGTGGTCAGAAGCAGCCATTGTCTGCAAGGAGATGCAAATTCTCATGGGTAGCTTTTTCCAAGAGATTGGAAGGTTGCAGGTACCAGAGGCTGCATCCAAAAACCAGCAGAGGTGAAGCACATTGCATTTCTTGAGCTGGTGAAATGTGTACAGTTGTGTCACCTCTTTGACTACATCCCTTAGGTGCCTGGCCCTGTGTTTTCCTCTTCAGAGATGCCATCCCATCAGTCTCCCTCTTTCCAGTCAGGCTCAGGGCTGCAGCTCCCTGCATGTCAGTCCTGCTGAGCCATGAGGTCCATGTGGGAGCAGCACCTGTGGCTGGTGCATTCAGGAGTCTGTGACCAGTGGTGAATATTGTAATCAGAAAACTTACAGCCAAGATATAAAACTGCACGACATTTGTGGGATAAAGAGATTATATTCCAAATAGACACACATATAGAGAGATGCATAAGCAAAGTCAGACTTTCAAGTTCTCTGAAATATTAATAAATTACTTCATCAGCCAATAGTTCCAGCTAAAAAAGTTATTAAAATCACACAATCCACACTAAATTTTTTAAGTGAAATAACTCCAGATTTTTTTCCCCCTAAAGTAACATTTTTCTACTGAATTTGTATTTTGAACACTTTCATGTGGACAGAACAGTTTTAAAGTCTTCCCTATGAAATAAAGTGTTTTGTTTTGTTCTGTTTAATTTCATTCAAAAGCAAAGACTTAGAGATTTAGGTAAGCCTGAAATTTCTTCTGATTCTGTTTCAACTCCTGAACCAAAATATCAATTATTGGAATGAACAGCTTGACCTTCACTGTTGAGCTGCTCTCAGTGCTTGACACTTGCTAGCATTACAACACCCTGTAGACAGTGTAGGTGGTTATACTGAGTGAAAAGGCATGAAGGGCCACCAATATTAGATAAATTGCACTTTTAAGGCACATTCCCCCATATGCTATTGTATTAAGTAGAATTCTGTTCCACTTTTCTATGGAAAGCTGCCTACTGTAAAAAGCCAACTCTTGCTGCTGTTTTCATGACCTGTGAAAACCAACAAATTCCCTGGTATTTACTCAATGTATCCCTTCCATGCAAGCTTACAAACTTTCCTCTGTCACCATCTTATCTATGAATTAAAATGAATTATTGCTTCCTCTGTGTTTTGCAGACTGAAACTAAGCCAGTGCAGATGATGAATCTGGAAGCTACTTTTTGCCTGGGCTATGTAAAAGATTTAAATGTTGCCATCCTTGAGCTCCCATGCCTTAACAAACATATAAGCATGCTCATTCTCCTGCCCAAAGAGATTGAAGATGAGACCACTGGCTTGGAGAAGGTGAGAGAAAAAAATAGAATTGCTATGATACTTCCCTTGGAAACAGCCCATATAATGCCATATATTTATGGAATGTTTTTGTTATTTAGAAGCAATGCATAAGGAAACACAAAGTAACTTTCCTGTGAATTTATAATCTCATTCTGTTTCTCTGTTCCTCCTCTCATATTTGTGGCATCATCATTTTCACTGTGTCCAGTGGGAGGTTGTACATGAAGCTTTGATCTAGATAGGGAATGCACAGAAAACAGTGTAAAGTGCAGAAGGTGCCCTTATTTCTGGTATCCTTATTTTTTTTCAATTGACATGTGTCCATGATTTATTTTACTAAGGTCTTACACTTCTCCAAGTTTTTGAGCAGAGATGCCTCCAGATGAGCCATTTTTAATTACCAATTGCACATAAATGTGAAAATTAATACGACATTTCTTAAAGATCAACAATTTCTTATGTAATTTCTCTATGAAAATTTTATGACATATTTTCAACCCATTCAAAGTTTATTAAGGACTAAGTAATTAATAATATTAATTAATAGTAAAGTTATTTAAGGATTAAAAGATTGATGATCACTTAAGTCTCCTTTGTAATTTGTACAACTGGCCACAAATTTTAGAGGCAGGAAGGATCTGTCTTTGCAGCTGTAAGATGCTTTTATATGTTGGAGTAAATTACAGAACACACCTATCATAAAATGCAAGTGAAGCCTTTCATGATACCAATTTGTTGTGGCCCGAAATTCTGCCTCCTCCCTTTCCAGTTTAAAAAAAAATTGCTTGATTGCTGCATGTTTGATTGAGATCAGGCTCTGGGTTTGGATTTTGTGTCCCAAATACCAGCAATTTCATTACTCTTTAGAGTCAGGAATAAAGACTTTTGGATCTCTGCCAGTTGGCCAGGTGTAACCTGGGTAAGGACTGTCTTCCTCAGATTCCTTCGTATGGTTGTTGTGGTGATTGCTTATCAAAAGCTTGCCAGAGCATGCACATGCAGAAGAGTTGCTCCAGAGGCCTGTCCTATGGATTAAATCATACTTGAATCAATATAACTGGGAGTATGTTAAGCCTGAATGCTATGGTTGTGAATTCAAAAACAAAAATTGCCTGTGGACTTTATTTTTTGGAGGTTTGATAGGAATGAGAAGTTCAGGAATGGTCTTTTCTTTTCTCCTTTCACTTTCCTCAGACTGCTCACTAATTTCCATTGTTCGTTTATGTTTTCAGCTGGAAAAGGCACTGACCCCTGAGACATTATTACAGTGGACGAATCCCAGCATGATGGCCAACACCAAAGTGAATGTATTTCTTCCAAAGTTTAGTGTGGAAGGTGACTATGACCTGAAGCCCCTTCTGGAAAGCCTGGGAATGACAAATATCTTCAATGAAAGCGCATCAGATTTCTCTGAGATGTGTGAGACAAAAGGTGTGGTTGTGTCAAAGATCATCCATAAAGTCTCCTTGGAAGTCAATGAACAAGGTGGTGACTCCCGAGAGGTACCTGGATATCGGATTCTGCAGCACAAAGATGAATTTAAAGCTGACCATCCATTTATCTTTTTGTTTAGACACAACAAAACTCGCAACGTGATTCTTTCAGGCCGATTCTGTTCTCCTTAAGCGGGGCGTGTTCATTACAAAAAAAGCACAATTACATTTGTGGTGGTGCACACTCCTGTAAAGCTTTTCTTCCCGACTATCGCCTTTGAAAAGAAATCTAAGGGTTCATATATATTGGCTGAGTAATACAATGTACTCTACATATGCAGCAGAAGTAGTTTCTCTCCTTTTGTTTCCTCCCCTTTAGCGGAATAATTTCCACTGTGAAGAACACACCATATTTTATTGAGAAGCGTCCCACCTTCAGCAACAAGAACATTTTGTTCCTCTGTGACACTTTTTTCCCCAAATGAAGTGAGAGTCTGATTTAAGATAGCTCAGGAGCTGGAAAGGGCTCTAGGAGGAAGAGCTGCATTCCTACTCCCTGGTGAAACCTCTCTCATGACTCACACTCTCTGGATTCCTAATGCCTAAAAGGGGAAATGTGGACATGTGATATGATCTCCCTCTGTACCTGGCCATACTCTGGTGGTCCAGAGTGCCCTACCAGACCCTGCCAGCACCCACTGAAGAAGTGGACAAGTTCTGCAGCATAGCTACAACAGTTCAGGCTGGCATCAGGATTTGCATCTGTGAAACAGCAGCCACACCAAGGCCTATGGACACCAGAGGCAAAAGTCATGGGGACATTATGTGTCCCCAGAAGACTCTTCAGCATGAAGCTCCCAGACTGGGGAGGTTGAACTCTGCTGTGTGGCCTTCTTTGACTCATTCCCTTCAGACATGGAAGTTGGGACAAGAGGAATCTTGTTGTATATATCCTAAGGAAAAGAACATTATGCAAATCAAGGCTAGAACACCCTTGGATTAATACTGGAAGTACCACACTTCTCATGCACAGATTATCTGCCATTTCTAGCTCTGGATTCAGCATTAAGGAAACTCCTTACAGTTACTCAATGTCTAAGGCATGAGAAAGAAATAAGGACTTCAACTTGACTGAAATTACCATTGTAATTACTAGTCTTCAAATTCCACAAGAGATTATGGTAATCAGATTTCATTTCTATCTAAAGACTGCCTGCTGCATATGTTCAGTACTCGTTTGCCTAAATACTGTTCAGAATAAAGCACTATAAAACCTGTGTCAAATGTACAATACCTCTAGTGTCAGTCTGTGTGTTCATTGACAGTGTCAGTGTTCATGCCTGACTTCCAATAAATTACAGGAGTGGAAATAAGCAGAATCACTTAGGCCTCAAAGTCAAAATAACAAAAAAAGCAACTAAGTGAACATCTCGATTGCCCTTCTGAGCCACACAATGATAGTTCCCAGTCAGGACTATGTTACTAGGTGGTAAGGACACATGTAGAATTTAATTATGTATCCTCAAAAGATGGAAGCATTGTACTTGAGAAATCCTCTTGGTGCCTCAGGTCTGACAGAAACTGGAAAGAGATCTCTAAATGAGAACACGCAACAACCCCTTAGATGCATAGTTTCAACACCAGAGCACTGCTTTTTGTGAATTTAGGCACAGGTGTTCTCTTTTGATTCTTGAACTTAACAACCCATGAGAAGCCTTTAGTCACAATAATTCAGTAGTCTTCTCAGAGGACCTTTAATGGTTTCTACTGCCTTTTAGTGTCAGACTGGGGTCTTTGGCCCATATCTTTGAGGGTACAGAGGAGACTAACTTGGATGAAAAATGATGGGAGGTGAGACCCTGGGGATCTCTGGGGGTCTTTGCTGATATGCATCAGATGTTTTGACACAAGGATAGTGGTCAGACAAATGAAAAATACAACAATTTAGTTGAGCACATCCTGTCTGAGAAGGACTTGGCTGCAAAGATCTTGACTGGCTCAATTTCAGTGATACCTGAAAGACCAGTAATGATTGATACACCCCATCATTGCCTGATCTGCTCTGGAGGCTGGGATTAGGTGTATCCAGGGCTGTTGTCACTGTGGCTTCTACTGGTTCTCCTGTCGGAGGTGGGTCAGGACATTGTGCATGGGGTTGGTGACTAAGCAGCTGCACAGGCACTCCATGCATAGAGAAGAGGGACTGTACACTTTGTTCTTGGGCACTGACTCTTTGTCAGGTGGCTCCAGTGCCCAGCAGGCCATTTCACACTTACTGCTACAGCTCTGCTGGTCTGCTAGACTGATGAAAACCTCTGCCAGATTGTCCCAACCCTCTTTTCCTTCCTGGATGAGATTTCCTAAAGGAGAAAAGCTCAGACATTGCTTTCTCATTTTTTTTTCAGGTTCTGAAAACATTCCAGTTCAGGAGCAAGTCTTAATTTAATGGAAGATGTAGTCTGTTTAAATGCTGATCTGAGGATTTTGCATATCCCCACAAATTTATGACAGCATTCTTCTCCTTGTGATAGCTTGGCCAGGAAGGGTTATCCCATGAAAGCAGAGATAAACACTGCTTCAGGGTGGGGCCCATCTTTCTCCACCTGCTGACTGATTCCAAGGTATCCCAGCCTGTGCAAGGCAAGCAGATGTTAGAGATACAAAGCTGTCTTGTCCCACATAAAGCAAACTCACTTATTGGTTATTTATGAAGAGGGTGGCTTGCTCATGAAAACCTCAGGTTCATTTTTCACCCGCCTCTTCTCTCTGCCAGTCCCAGTATGAAGCTTTTCCACCTTGCAGCATGAGAGGGAGAAGTATCCATGAAGCTCCTGCTGCTGTGAGAAACCATGTTACAGTCCACTATTTTCATTCTACCCTTTGTTGGCCTCTGGGTCTTGGGCAAGAAGTTGCCTGGGAGGACGTGGGAAAACACGTGTGGGAGTTTGTGTGCAGGAGCTCTTACGTGCTGGGAGGTGTTGGTCACAATGGAGGGAGCGAGCATAGCTGAGGGCTTGCTCAGAGTGACAGGGTGCTCCACCTCACCTTTCAGCAGGGCATTGCTATCCAGTGATGGATGGTGCCCAAAACCAGCAAGCTGTGGCTGGCTTTGGCAGCAACACAAAGATTAATTTAATGCAAACCGCAAGGCTGTGTGCCTGCTCATCTCATCCCTTGCCCACCTGCACAGTCACTGCCTGCTCCTTACTCCCAGCATTTGGTAGAGAAGGGACACATCCTAATGTCTTGTGGTGGCAAAAGTGGTTTGTGGGGAAGTTCTGAACCTTGAAATATGCAACTTAGGGCAAATTTGCCCCACTGGAAAAGCAGTACATTTTGGTGGATATGCTGTCCTAAGGGCTTAAAAAAGAGAGAATTTGCACATACATTGACATTTCCTGAGGCAAAACAGTGGAGCAGATGCCAGGGAAGCTCTGAGGGAATATATAAGAGGGCAAGCAAAATAAATCAGTGGAGGAATGATGTCAATATAGAAGGAAGGGAGAAAACAGAAATTGGAAGAGGAAAAATCTTGCAAGATACTCAAAATACTTAGGTTGTCACTGAAAAGATGCATGGACTAGAAAAGCATCAGAAGATACATGGTAAGGCAATGTTCATAAATAAATAAATCTTTAAAATAGAGAAAGAAAGAACTGAGAAAGAAGACTAAGGAGCTCTACAGAAACATACAGGAAGAAAAAACAGCAACAAGGAAGTGAATGGCAAAGGGAAGCAAAAAAGGAAGGAAAAGAACTGAGGTAAAGAGAATGATCATTTTATCATTGTATCTTCCATTGCTTATGGATTCCTGTTTTCAGATGGGTACTGGAGCACTGGAGCTTGGCCAGCAGGGCTGAGACCTTGGCAGAGGAGTTCGGAACAGCAAAGCTGGACGCTGCTGTGCCTAAAGAAGATGGTCCAGCTTCTGCACTAGAAGGAAAATGTGGGTAGGGCAAGATGGTGCTGAGGGCCTTCTTCGTCTTTCCTGCTCACCATGTTTGATCCTATAAGTATCCTATGAATCCAAAGCCAGTTTTATGCTTTGTAGGAAGAAAGAAGAGGTGAAAGAGAAAAGACATAAAATTTTTGGTGTTACAAAGCCATATACAACCCTAGTGTAGCTCTGATCTCTGAATCCAGCTGCCATAACCTAGTGTTGCAGCTGAGTTCACTGGTAATGATCAGAGATCAAACAGTGTGCTACTGCAGCTCTGTGCTTCCCATCTCTTTTCTTCCTTCTCACTTCATGCTGGAGACTTAACCTCAGTGATCAACCACTCCCACCCTTCTTTTATTCTTAGCTCCTGTGATTTTAGATTTAAAAGAATACCCCCTGGCTGGGGATTCCTGTTACAGTTCAAGGAAATATTTCTTCCCTTCTCTAATTAAGCTCCTTCCACGCACATAAAGCCAGCTCCTTACCTGAGAGGGAGAGATGGCTGTAGGCAATATAAAGCTCATGCATTTCCCATTCATTTGATCTATCTCTGCAAGCAAGCTCAGCTCCAAACAATCTTGGCATGAACCCTGCACACACCTTTGTCCAGGCCAGACCCCATCAAAATTTGAAAGGGACTAAGCACAGCAGTGCAGTCATGGTTCTTCTTAGGGTTAATGACCAGTTTTCCAGCTGAGAGTGGCTTGGCATTGTGATCAGGAGATGTTGCCAGCAGATATTGCCTGCCAGACTTGTTGGGCAGCTTGAGAGAAATGCTAATAGCATATTGCTAGATACAGGTTTCCCATTCTTCTGTGGGGAAACTTCATGGTAATGGCATTTGCATTAAGCACAAAATGCTGCTATCAGCAATAATTGGTAGAGGCTGAACTTCCCCACAAGAGAGTGGCAGATTTTTTTTTTAATACAGTATTCACAGGAACGTGCTCCAGAACTCAGCTGTTGTCTTCTTCATTTAACCTCTTCAGGGAAGAAGGTAAAAATTCTATGTTGTTCTGTTGTTTTCTTACTTTTTTACTTTTTTCCCAAAATAACTGTGATTTTTTTTTAAATTTTTTTTTTCCCTGATCCAAAGTACTGTACAGGCTAGTAAGTAAACATAATTTTTACATATTGGGCAGAAAGAGAGATAGCTTTACAGGCTGCAGGCAGCAAAACACACTGCTAAAATTCAGGTGGCTCAAGAGCTCACACAAAGGGAGCTGGTCTTCAGTGGGACATGAATGAGGATTTTAGGGACACATCTAAAGATTCTTGCCTAAATTTCACAGGCTTCTGAATCTGAAATTTCCCCAAAACCTCTCTGTCCACCCAGTAATGTCTAATTGACACAAGACTGATGGCAGAACTGATGGGTTCAGTGGGCTGTATGAGAAAGTAGATGCTTTCCTGCCTGTCTCTCCAGAAGGGCTGAAGTTCATGCACTTTCAGAGCACCTCTATCACTCTGGTAGAAACAGGCTTCATATAAAGTGATAGTGCTGGTGACCTGGGCAACCTGACCCACTGCATGAGAAATGCAGGTTAATTTTCCTTCTTTACTCACATTTCCATGGCACAAAAAAAAGCCTTGAAATGTTTTCTAGAAGAGACAGAGGGCAGGCAATTCTTTGGCTGGGTTCCAAGGCATTTATTTTCCCTTTACACTGATCCCAACTACCAGGGAAATTATGTTCTTAAACAATGATGCTATAAAAGAGAAAGGGTGGAGTGGCATGCAGATTTTGTTTTGTTAGTGGGGGTGCTAGTCTTTGCTATTAAAATATGAGCTCCTGGGTTTGGCAATGCTGTTTAGAAGCTTGCAGAGAAGCCTGCACACAGGCACAGCAAATGACTTGCCACCTTACAGCCTGTAACAGGCCAATGCACATCCATGCCTGTTTATGCAGAAATAACTGGCCTAGAAAGAGGTGTAGAAGATACCAGAGGGGCTGATGCAAACTAATAAAAGCAGTCAGGAAAAAGCTTTCTGGCATAAAAGTAGCATACTGAGAGGCTAGGTTGTTTGGAAAATGAACTTGGCACTATTTCACTTGAAAAGCTGCTTTGTACTGAAATGTATTGGTTTTTAACTTAAAGCGTGTGCTGTGCCATTTAGGGATGATCAGAATTGTTGTGTTATGGAAATTTAATTTTTCTTATGTGCTCTTTGTCCACTTTATTCCAAATCAGCACAGAAACACTTGGAAACTTATTTTTGTATATTATTTCGTTTGGTCATGAAAAATAAATAAGTCATACTACCAATTTTTATGTGAGGGGACACCACATTGTCTTTTTCTGGGATAGAAAATTTCTGCCAATTCTATTTCCCTCTGTGTATGAGAAATGAATGTATATTAAGACACCTTTATGGGACACAGATTGAATAAGTCAAACATGCAATGGGAATTATCATGTGGCATCAGGCAAAACAGGTTCCTTCTTACTTAACTTGTATGAAATACAGAATTACCTTAACAGCAAGGCCACAGGTCTCTTACTTTCTCCACCCTATTTACTGCCTCCTTCTCTTGACTGAATAATAGAATCTAACACAACCATTAATTATGACAGCTTTCAGCACAGGTTTCTTTAGTCTTTGATAGTTTTTGTTTTGATTTCATCTAACTTTAGCCAAAAACAAACTATAAAGGGAGAACAGATCATGAATAGTTATAGAAAAGGAGTTCATCATTTCATACAGCCATGGAGGAAGTTTGTAATTTTTGTAAAGTCTGTGGTATGCAGTGGTTCCTTCTGAAGGAAGCTATTTTACTGGGTAGCTTCTTGCTCACAGACTGCAGTGCCAGTAATTTCATTTGCCAGACCATGTTAAAAGCTGCTGAACCATCATGCAAAGGATCTCCTGTCATCAGGGGTTCTGCACTACTAATAATGTTCAGCACAGGTGCTTTGGCTAGTGTGGATCAGCAGCTAGGAACTTCCTGGAACACTCCTTTTGATCCTGTATTATCACCCCTTCTTACCACTCCAATATTATTTAAAAGTGACATTACCATTTGCTGTCCACCATGTAGAGGTTCTCCAAATGCTGTGGTCCTTGCAGTAGCTCCAAAAGTCTGATAGAATTATTGCACAGATTACACAGAAGGCTTTGTGGTGTGGAATCCTTCATCCACTTGTTCCCACCCCATTTTCGATTAAGGAAGTCACAAAATCCTTTCATTGTACAGTAAGGAAGTTCCTTCACTAGCCTATGCCTGCCCTCCCTTCCTCTGGATTTCTAGGGCAGCTCTCTAAGTAGTTCCTACTCACAAAACCATGGAGTTGGCTGTAGTGTTTGCACCTGGATGTCTCCCTGGTGACAGCCTGCTGCTTTTGCTGAAGGAGTGGCCACATCAGTGTGCCAGACACTCACTCTAAAACCTGCTCCCAGATCCTGGGCTCTCCCTCCATTCTTGGTGCTCAGCCTTTCCCTGCAGGGTGGGGTGGAGCTGCCTTTTTCCTACTGAGTAAGATTATTAACTCTTTTTTTTTCTCCTTGACTTGGTCTGAAGGTGGGACACACCTACAAAGTGCCTCATGCCCTACATTCACTGTGTCTGATTTCACAGCTCCATTTCAGATCTTTCAAGAGATGTGCAAGTATAGCACTACAAATTCAGCACTGAAGATGCACTGTTTTGTTTTCAGAAGGTTGTGGATAGTAGGAAATGCAGGTGGAAAAAAAGAGAAAATATTTAGTGCAATGTCTTGTGGTACTGCAAGATTACTGCATTATTAAAAGGAAAATTAAAACCATATTACATAAAATATGGTAATAGTGGAGCTAAAACAGCTGTGTTCAGAATTAATGAGATAAAACTAATCTTTAAGTTGTCTGTGCAAAGAACCCTTTGGATATTTCTCATCTGTTTTGTCCATTTGCATTAGGTCTTTATGTGAAGTACTTCTGGACTCCAGAAACAAAACAAAAGTCTCAGTATGAAACGTCTGTGAACTTTTCTTGCAGCATCACAGGTTCTTTCCACAGAGCATCACTCAGAAACAGGATGAAGCATTGATTTTTACTGTTGTTAGTCAACTGGAAAGAAATGTCTGCATTTGCCAGATGTTTTACCTTTATATATTCAGAAACTTTAGTTTTTCATCTCTTCCAAGCCTCTGCACCGGTTTGTTTTGGGCTCAATCTGTTTTCCTGTGGGCTGCGCTCATTCCCATTGTCCAGCACTTGCTGCAAGTGAAGATGGTTTCACAGACAAATGTTGTACCTTGGCTGAGCCATATCAACTCCCAATGCCCTGGTAACTTCCAGCACCTGAGTCCCATATTTCCATGCAAAGTCATGCCTGGCTCATGGCTGAGCTGCAGATAGTGTGCATGCTGCATCTTGAGATCAGTGCAAGGCATTTTGAGCAGCTCTTTGCATAAAGGGAACTCTGTGAAGGGAGGGAGCTGTGGCTGTGGTAGAAGAACTGGGGCCTCAGTGGGAGGCTGATGAGAGAGTTTTGGCTGGAGGCAACCCCTTCCCCAGAAGGCTCAAGACAAGTCTCAAAGGAGCACTAACAGCCCAGGACAGGCTGTACAAGTGTCCTGCTGATAAAAGATCCTGAAGTTCAGCTTTGCAACAGCCTCTTCCCACCTTTAACCTCTGGTGACACAGACTGGAGCTCCTCATTTAACCTCACCTTGCAGGCTGCAGCTTCAGGGCAGACAGGGCTGAGGAAGAGTGCCTGCTGTGCTGTGGCCATCTGTGGGCACTGGAGAGAACCACCTAGCTGTGCACTCACTTCTTTTTCCAAAAGAGAGGAACTCTGTCAGCTTTCTCTGGACCTGACCCATGCTGGTCCCAGTGCAGGCTGAAAGGTAGAGCCAGCAAGATCTGTGCCACGGGAGACATGAAGGACTTGTCTCCATACTGTGGCTGTGTATTTTCCCCTAAATAAATAATCTTTCTGGACCTCAGACCAGTGCTATTTGTCCAAAATGCTTGTTTGATACTGAAGGCGATGTGGGGTTTGTTGGGTTTTTGTTTTTTTTTTATTTTGGTATAATGATTCCAGAAAGTTTTGTGATTTTGTGTGATACCACTGGTATCTACACAACACCTTTACAATTCTCCTAAGATTCAGGAAAGGAGTTTCTAATCACCCATTTTTTAGATGGCCTCCTTCTTGCAAGGACCAAGCTGAACTTGGTCCTAACTTGTTCTTAATGGAGTGGATTGAACGTAAATGATCCATGGGAGAGGTATCAGACTGAAATGTTTCTAGTACAAAAGTAGAGAGTGACACATATCTGGTCATATCACTAAGCAGGAACTTACAGACTTCTCTTCAGGGCTCTTGGGCTATTACCTTGTTTGGAATTTTTAATTGTGGATCCTGCCTCAATTTGTGACTTCTGGAAAACATGTTAGAAGCTAAAAGTGTATTTCAAACTGTTAGTGTTTCCATATGTAGTTCAGTCGCCATAGCTGTTAAAGAGCCTTTTTCATGTATGAAGACATTTAATTAATAGTGATTTTATTTTTAGAAACCTGTTGTTTGGAACCTCTTGCCACAGCTCTGGTTACCACAGATGGTTATATGCAGGCTTAGTTTCTGTCACCAGGTCTCTGTCACCAATGTATGTTGTTAAGAGGAAAGAGTTGATGCAGGTGTATGCATCAAACCAGTGTGGAGAAGGAAAATGTTAATCCATACCTGTCTAATTTCAATACCATAAATTGAAATAAGTTGAAATAAGACACAGCATGGGATAAGGCAGAAAAAGGGTCCTTTCTGAGGAATGTACATATGTTGTGAGCATGCATCCTTTTTGCAGACCCTCTGTGCCTTTGCTCCTGCTGTGCATCATAGACTGATCTGTGCAAGGCTGATTAAAACTTTCAGGACTTAGAAAATGTCTGTAATGTTCAACAACCAGCTATGGGACAATCTCAGGGCAGACAGATGCTTTACAGCGTGGTCTAGCTAGCCCAGCTGCACTAAATTTCTTAATTCTTTTGTGCTCCCACTCAGCAGCCGCTTCATGATGGACTCCATTTCTAGACCAGTTACTGAGTTTTGCCTTGATCTCTACAAAAGGCTCAACAGAAGTGCAGAGGACACAAATATTGTCTTCTCTCCTATGAGCATCTCTGTTGCCCTGGCCCTGATCCATCTTGGTGCAAAAAACAACACTGCTGCTCAGATAGAGAAGGTGAGTATGAATGAACCATGGTGAGGTGCTTCCACATCACTTGCTGTATCCTCAAAGGAAATGCTGGGCATCCCAGCACGACACACGTGTGAGGGTCTTACAGGAAACCTGCACAAGGGCAGGCACAGGTCCTGCCTTCACAGCTGTGCTTGAAGCACTCTGATCCCTGCCCTCTGCTGGTGTAAGTCTCATCCTACCCCCTGCAAGGGCTGGCTGAAGGGAGATGATACAGCACAGTGAGGGGCTCTAGCTTTCCCCAAGCCTGTGGCAGAATGTCAGGCTTTATTTCAGAATTATGGACAGGTGTTTCCTCTTGTGGTTGCTACAAGAATCCTGAGAGTGGAGTCTGCGTGGGTAGTGGGGAGAGTTGCAGACACCTGAAAGAAGGGGTTGCACCTGGGTGGCTGAAAGCATTAGCTCACCTGTCCCTTAGGACATTCAAGAGTCAGAATGTCTCAGCCCACAGAGACCCAAGTGGGCAAGGGTGAGGTGAAGAAGACCACCCCTTCAGTCACTGTGCCTTTACTTCCTGCAGTGCAAGGTCTGCTTTCTACAATCTTCTCTTTTCTTTTTTTCTTTCTTCTCTGTTTCTTCTTCTCTACCATGAGTGGTAGAAGACTGATAATCCTAAGGCAGAGCTTCTCACCAGGGTGTGGTGGGTCACACCTGCCCACCCAGACACTCTGAATCTGTTCTCTTTGCCCCTACAGCCCCCTGGCTACCATCACTACTTTAGACAGGGACTCCTGCTTATTTTAGGACAGCAATGGGAATTGCTCAATATCAATATCCTCTCAAAAGGAGAGTAAGTCTATGTATGATGCAACATTATTATAATAAAAAAAACTGCTGAAAATTTTTCTGTGATGTATTTGCACAGTAGAAACAGGGACTAATTTCCATTAAGAGCATTGTGGCTTTGATCTATTTCTTAAGCTGATGCTAATGTTAAGAACGATTGCAAGAAGCCAGTTTTGGTGTTTTTAAAAAAAATTAACTTTTGTCCCTTTACTTGGGGTAAATTTTTGTTTTGAAATTTAAGATAACTGTAGCAATGAAAACACAAATCAAATATAAACATTTTGAGGTGGGGAAGAGTAACATTTTGAGGGATTAAGTGCAAGTTCTTCTTGGTTTGTTAATGTAGAAAAGTGAGTCTGAACATGAATGTGTGAACAAGTTCAAGTCTGTCATTTCAGCTGATGAGTGAAGCTGCTAAAACATCTTTTGTGAATCTACACCACTTATCCAATAGGGGACAGCAAAGCTTTTAAAGAAGGAATATGGTTTTATCCCAGTTACAATTGACATAAGTTGACATCTTCACCTGCAGGTGCTCCATGTCAGGAAAGCTGCAGGAAGAATGAGTCTTGGATCAGATCACGAGAGTGCAGCCCCAGAAATGGAGCCAGAAGGAAGCCTGGAGAGTCAGCCTTCGTTCTCAGAGGTGTGTCCTTGGGTGGGGAGCCCTGTCTCCACTGCATGGGTAAAAGACGAGGGCTTGCCGCTGGAGGGAGTCAAGATCCCATGCTCAGAGTCTGTCTGATCCTCTAGGAAATGACTGATAAAAGGTTTTATTTTATTAAGTAAGTCAATACCAAAACATTCATTGATCTCATCTGAAGGAGGGTCAGGCTATAAAGCTTGGACTAGCTGGATTTAAATTCAGTACAGCAGGAATTAGCCTTAGAATGTTATCTAGTTAAGATGCACATTAACAACCAAAACTGCACAGAGGAATAATTTTAATTGTTGTCTTTGTGTTACTCCTAGTGTAACAAGGAGGGAGACCTTAACCATAAAGTGTTCCAGGAGCTGCTTTTGCAACTACAAAACCTTGGTGAAAAATATGTTTTAACCTTGGCCAACAATCTCTTTATACAACAAGGATTTGAGCTCCATCAGGTAAGTCACCTGCTATATGCTGTGGCCATGACCTCAAGATTCCCTGGAACTGTGGGCCTCACTGTTCCCCTCTTGTGTGTGTTTTGGAGCACATGATGTGCTACATGGAGCTATAGCTCTTGAAGCGGTCAACTTTCTATGCTTTTATTAAAAAAACACAAAAAGCAAAAAAACCCAAACAGAAACAAACCACCCTGTGGATATCAAAGGCTATAGAGCAAAACTAAAGCAGGGATGTGTTCATTTTTGGCACATTTTTCAGATGTGTACACTCAGCCAGAGGAGAACCTACAGCCAAAACCAGCTTATTCAAGCTGTCTGTAGACTACCTACTTCAGGTCTTGCAAGTGGGACAGCTGAGGCAGCAGTAAACTTGGAGAGGGTTTATCTCCAGGAAGGTTGTACAGGTTCATGCACAGGACTGCTCTGCTGAACTGCTTGCTCCTTTCCTACTGAATGACTGAGTGGTCTTGAGACTACTTGGTATGGCTAACTTGTTGGTCACATCTTTGCTTTTCTGTCAATTATTTTGAAACTTAAGCACCAAACAACTCATCTTGATTTTTTTCTGTTTCTTTAATTTTTTTATCCCAACCTCAGTTATGCAGTTCTCCATGACAAGACTCATTCTTCTGGTTTTCTTTTTAGTTATTTACATTTTAGACCTATGCATTAGAATCTCTTTTTCAAAGATCTTCTGAATAAACTTCAGATACTTAACATTTCCAAAATGAAATTTTGCCTTATAGATTCAACAGGTCCCTCACCATTTCTAAAATACTATCAAGAGATTGATTTCTTTCAAAAGGCAGTAAGTGCTTAATAGATTTGACCAATTAATAATCTTTATTTTGCTTTACAGCAATTTCTAATGTGTAGCAAGGAACTGTATGGAGCAGTGCTGCAAACAGTGGACTTTCATGGTGCTGTTGAAGCTGCCAGAAGAAAAATTAATGCTTGGGTTGAAAGCGAGACACAAGGTAAAACAAAGCAAAACTATAGCCATTCTATCCCTGCCATCCTACATGGGTTCAACAAATGAAATTCCAGGGTAGGAAAAGCAAAGACGTGTTCACATTTCTGTGTGTTCACTCTTATGCTGTTTAAGGGTAGTTTGTCTTCCCATCTGCTCTTGAAATATTAGAGTAAGTTACTGGCTAAATTATTTATGAGTTAAAGATATGCTTGCTGTAAAATATTTTTTATTCCCACCCTTATGCCTGGCCTGATAATTGCAGTAATAACTATAAGTCTTGACCAGACAAACTGCTCCTGCAAACAGCCATAAATGCAGATTCAGAACACCAGGGGAAAATCTGGTGACCCCCATCCTCCCTGGCTGGCTACAGGGCAGAGGAATCTACTATTTGTTTACCTACATTGTTTTTGTCCTTTGAATAAACCAAGAACTGTGCTTCTAAGTTTTTCCAAATATAAGTTCACAGACCAATAATAGAGTCTCAATCCAGCATCTTAACCACAGCTAACAAATACTTCTGTGTTTCAAAATTCCTTTTAGGTAAAATCAAGGAACTCTTTGCACCTGGTGTGATTGACGGACATGCATTACTGGTGCTTGTGAATGTAATCTACTTTAAAGCATCCTGGGAATGCAAGTTTGAGGAAGAAAAAACAGTTCAGAGGGATTTTAAACTGAATCAGGTACATCTGCATTCTGTAAATCTTAACACTATTCACCTTAGCTACTGTGAGCATTGCAGCAAGCATAACCGTGTCAAGGGCTGAGCTGCCCTGTGTGTAAGCTGTGGGTGTGTTGGGAACTTAACTTGCCTCCCCTGTTGGGTTGAGGTGTTGGTAAGAGCTGAATTGCTTAACTGACTGTGTAATTTTCTTTTCAACAGAACAGAAAGAAACCTGTGCAGATGATGTATCAGAAAGGCAAATTTAAACTGGGCTACATTGAGGAGGTGGGTGCTCAGATCCTTGAACTCCCTTATGCTCAGAAGTCACTGAGCATGATCATCCTGCTGCCAGCGGATGTGGCTGATGGATCTGTCAGTGGGCTGGAGCAGGTAAGGCAGTACATGTCACAAACCAGGGCTGGAAGCCAGTTGTCTGAATTAACACTGGGTAAAGATCTCGATTTTTCAAAGCTTCCCACCTATTTTAATCTCCTTTTCCCCCCATCTTATAGGTTGAAAGCACAATCTCCTATGAAAATTTAATGCTGTGGGCCTCCTCAGAGACCATGTTTGAGACAACGGTGGAGGTTTACCTGCCCCGATTCAAGCTGGAAGGCACCTTTAACCTCAACCAGGTTTTACAGGAGATGGGGATGACCGACATCTTCACTGAATCAAAAGTTGACCTTTCTGCAATGACGTTTGCAAAGTCTGTGGTGCTGTCAAACGTTGTCCACAAGGCCTATGTGGAAATCAATGAGGAAGGCACCGTGGCGGCGGCTGGCACAGGAGCTTCCATTGTCAGGAGGTCTCTGCCTCTCACAGAGGTGTTCATGGCTAATCACCCTTTCTTATTCTTTATTAGACACAATCCTACCAATACTATCACTTTCTTTGGCAAACTCTGTTCACCTTAAAATCAGGGCCATTTTCTAACACTGTGAGGAGTACCTGGATGAAAAGCAGAAATTTTATTTTTCTCCCAAATGCTTTCTTAATCCTTTGATGGCTACTTTGTACTTCAGAATAATCACTGCAGCCAGTTTTGTTTAGAACCTATGAATCGGATGCTCTGCCACTCGACTCCTTGAATTGTAAATATTGATCTGAATCCAGAATATGAGTAAATTTTACCTTAAGCTTGCTGGATATGAATAACACTTTGTTTTCTTGATGTGTGCATGGGCTCATGGTGACAATAGGGTTGAGGTGGGAAGGGACCTCTGGAGGTCATCTGGTCCACCTCCCCTGCACGAGCAGGACCATCTACAGCTGGCTGCCCAAGATCAAGTCCAGATTCCTTTTGGATATCTCCAAAGATGGAGACTCTACCGCCTGTCTGGACAACCTCTCCTAAGTCTGTATTAAGTTCTCAAATAATTGCAAAGAGAATTTTGATTATATGGTGTCGGCAGGAACAGGACACAAACCCATGTATTTCTAAAGATGGTTAATTATTTACATAGTATAGAAGGCTGTTTTTTTATCTGGGGATAAATCAAACTGTTTATCCCAAGGTTTCAAAGAATAGGGAAAAGATGGTCTAAAGCATCCCACTGAAGTTACCAATGTGGAACACTGTAGCAATGAATTTCCAAGAAATCTGTTTTACTTTTCCCATGTTGCTGAGTGGTGAATTTAGAAATTCTGAGATGCAAATCTGAGAGACAGAGCTATCTCCATACTTTTAAGAATGATGAAAGTTTTTTTTTAAGTGCAGTGTAAGTCATGGAAATCAGTTAAACATTATCTGGGAATGCTTGTGGGAAAAAAATTAAACTTCTTTCCAGCTGATAGGGAGACATTACTGATAACTTCCTGGTTTAACACAAGTGATGTCTTCCTCAGAGGGATGAGGTTTAACAAATTAACATTTGTAATGTGCTTTTTAAATTTATATATAATAGAGAATCAGTGAATAACATGTTTAAAGCACAGAATTATATATGGCTTCAGAAAGGAGAAGACACACTAAAAATGATGTGTCTCTCCTAAATAGAATATAGGCTGGCTTTAAACTTGTACATCCAAAAGGCCATCTGAAAGAAAAATTCCCTCATCTAAAATTTGTAGGCATTTTGTTTTCTCCTTTTGTAAATTTTCTAGCAGTTAGCATTTTCCTTTGCTTGCTCTGACCTATCTTGATGTGAGCAATTAGAGACTTTGCCCATGTTGAAATTCAGGAGCAAGGTAAGATGAGGCATAAATTCCTGGAGAACATCTAGTGAAGGATTCAAAGCAGACCTTGAGAAAGCTGTTCAAATAGGGCTCCTGAAAAATGTCACTACAATGACTCTTTTTTTTTTTTTCCTGATTTTTAAATTCAAAATAGTACTTAACTTCTGTAATGGAGATATTCATGTGGCTCAGGAGGTGAAGGGCATGTATCCCATATCCTTGCTGGAATTCAAGCCTGCAGCTCTCAAGAGAATCCACAAAGTACTCTCAGGCACTAGGCTTTAGCATAGGCTGCAGGGCAAAACTGCCCACCTTCGTTTTGAAGTCCTTACATGAAGGAGTGCAGCTTAAAGGCACAAGAAGAGAATTCCAGGACTGGTAAATTTGCAGTTCAATAACTGAATTATAGATGAATTCTGGTTTCCAGGGTCTGGTGCCATTCCTGTTTTAGTCCAGTAACAGTGGAAAAAATTATCTGCATGTGGGTGTCTATCCTAACTAGAATGCTATGGAAGAATTTTTGTCTATATTTTTCTGATAGCATGAATTTTTCTTCAGTTTCTTGATATCTGCCTAGAAAAGAACATAGTGAATGAAGTAGGTCAGCTGTGAACTTCCTCTCAGCTCTTCAGAGTGCTGCTGTGCAGCTTTTTCATCTGAATCCTCAGGCATGAAATTAGATATTCTTAGTTATGGGATGGCGAGTCACAGCTTTTGTGTGAGAGCACTGCCACCTACACATCTCCAAGATTATTTTGCAATCCTCCCTCACTTGAGTGCTGCAGTTTGAAAACAGAGTCCAGCTTTTCCACACACTTACTGACAGTTTTAAACATGCTGGAAAAGCAGCCCCTAAGGACCTCTCTCACCAATCCTGATGGATGCCTTATTTTCTTGTGCAATGCCTCATGAGGCAGGTAGTAGCTTTTGGCACAGCCCTAGTTGCAACCTGCAACCTCACAGCACCAGCTGCTGCTCTGCCTCCACTCACATCCTGACAGCTCCTTTTCCAAGAGACCCCCACTGCAGCCCACTCTGCTGCCTCTCACTTCTCTCCCCTGCAATCTGTCAGCACAAAGCTCTCCCAAAAGTGGGCCAGCAATGACCAGTCCTGCCTTCTCCACAGCCCTCAGCTTGCCCAGTGAGGAATCATCTCACTAAATTGTAGTGGGATGACCACAGTGGGGAAAGGCTTTCTCAAACTAGAGTTTAATAACAGGCAAAGTCCCTCAGTCATATTTTCAGATTACATTCATGCAATCATTGTATGTTGTCTAGTGGGGACTTGGCTGCATTTTGCCCAATGGGTTCAGCTGCTGGTCTTCTGTGAGAAATGTGATATTCTGCCCAGAGCAGTGCTGAGCACAGTGCCTGCTGGCCTAAAATAGAGGCATTGCTCAGCCCACAGCCACCGTCCAGACACGAGGAGGAAACACTGTGGAAAAACTGACTGCTGTTTGTGATGCAGAGCAGCCTCCAGGGTTGAAGGATGAGTGATTTGGCAGCGTGGAACCATTTCCTTGCTCATGAGTGGTGATGAATATGAAGGATCCTGGAAGTCATGCCCAGGGGCCTTTGGTGTATCTCTTGTACCCCAGACAGGAACAACTCCACCTTGCTGCCTTATTTGCTTGTTGGTTTGCTTAGTGCAAACCTTCCAGAGGTGCAGACTGACAATGACTGTGGAGCTCAACAAAAGCCTCAGGAGGCCAACATACATTTCAAGCCATAACCATTGATGCCTCAAGCTCCCCACACTGTTCCGCTGAAACATGTGGGCTAGGCCTAGGGTACAGGAAATCAGATCCATAGCTGGAGTACAGCAGCAAACATCCAGAACTGAGAACCTCAGCTATGCTCCCATATCAGTGTCTAACTTCCTCTGGTGTTATGGGAAAAATCCACATCCAGTATGATGTACTTTAGTGAACCACAGTGTCGGAAGCTTGGTCAGTGCTTCTAAACCATGTAGCAGTTCTTGCAAAAAACCCAGGATGTTGACCACATGACTGTGTTTACACAGAGTACAGCCTTTAGAAAAAGAAATGGAGGAGATTAAAGTGACTGTGGAGCCAGCTGGAGCAGATAGGGGAAGAGTTTTCTTTGTGGAAATTAATGAAGAAGAAACTGAGGCAGCTGCTGCTACAGGGGTGACCAAAAGAATGCTTTGCCTCCATAATTCCTTATGAGTTCAGCTGTATTTCATCTGTTCCTCTTGTTGATCACACACAGTCCAAGCAAGAATGTTCTCTACTTTGGCCAATGTTGTTCCCCCTAAGGGTAGAGCAGGCTCTGCTTCTTTCTGCACAAAGAGAGCACAATACTGTGGTAGAAGGCATAAAGAACATGTTGCTATCAAGTGCCACTGACATTTCCTGATATCTATATTCTTGAACAAAAGAAAAAACACCACATTGCTTCAACAAGACAACTGGAAAAATTATAATGGGCTCTTCCTGTTTAGAGCTCTTCTCAAACCAGTGAACACACTCAATGGAGTTTATTTCATTCTTATTTCACTCTTAGCCACGAAAACTCCCATTGTAGTGGGGTTGTCTAAAGAGTTGGATGATGTGCTGTGTAAATCAGAAGTCCAGCATGATGCCTTCCCTCCTCAGCCACATGACAAGGCTGATGGTGGGGCCACACTCAGGAGGTGTCACAGGCCTCTGTCCCCAGCCACCAGGTCCCAAGCCAGAGACAGCTCAGTGCTGAATCCCCCACTTTCCTGCCACATGACTCCAGTAACCCCATTTCCAGTGCCTAAACACCACCATGAGGGAAGGCTCTTGGCTGCCATGAAGGCAGTGAAACCCACAGGTCATGTTCATGTCCTGAGGAGTCTCCATACAGATGTTGGGCATGGAGATAAGTAAAGATTTGTCCCACACTCTTCTCCTCAGATACTCTCTCCAGGCCTTCCCTTTGGAAGCAGTAAAGTGTGGCAGCAATAAAAGTATTCAAAGTATTTAATTGGTATGGCTTTTTGAACCTTGATTTGAAGGTTGCCTTAGGCACTCAATGCTTTTGAACATCTGCCATGTCTTGTCTCTTGCCTGTTGCATTTTGTCCATGAACTACAAGCACAGTAGTGTAATTTACCACTACCAAGAACTTGAATGTCTTTCACCTTCATTTCTCTGACCTGTCATTCTGAAAATAACAATGAATGCAAAAGGTAGGGTTTATTTGGTATCACCATGAAACTTTCTAAGAAAATTCTTCTCCAGTGCTCTGGTGTTTGTCATATGCCTGAAAAACCGTGGTCCCTGGAGACCATGAAGTGTTTGGCCTTGGAGGAAGATTGTTCTCAGTCTATGATTTCTCACCCTGCCAGTTCTATGACCCTCTGCCTGATGAGTGGGAAACAATTTTACCGGAGAATACAGATGTGACTGATGAAGGGAAAGTATTTCTCCTTCCAGAATTCCATAATGGATGAAAGCCCCTCTAAAGTACCATAATAATTTCAGAATATATTAATGCAATTGTCTCATGTCTGCTCTGGGGCGCACTGAGTGTGACTGGGATGGAGCTGACTGTGCTCATAGCAGCCTATATGGTGGTCTTTTGGGATTTCTGGCTAAAGCAGTGTTGATATATTTTGGCCACTGCTGAACTGTACTGCAAAAGCAATTTGGGTCTAATTCTGGACTAATTCTGCCTACACACTTTTTGCAATTATACAAAATGTGTTTATAAACTATTAAAACATCAGTGGTGGAGTTAGGATAGATTT